TGCTTGCCGTGGAGGCAATCTTAAATATATGTGCAGTTTGCGTCATCTGGAAAAGCTAACGAGAGGAAGAGAAGGCATAAGCCCTTGAGCCACGCAGAGAGAGTGGTGACCAGGGCTGCAATCATCTGCGCAACCAAGTCTTCACCGATTTTTGCTGAAAAAAAGTGCCGAAATCAAGGGAGAGTTGTGTTCAGCGAGGATACCCGGGAACATTTTGGTTTCGCTACCGAAATCCCACTTTCATCAGAGGTTGCTCGCTTTTCAGCGAGAAGCAGTATTACCTCATGGATGGTGACCTAGCAGCGGAGCCGAGATACCCTGCCCCAATTCATCAATGCTAAGAGCTCCCTCTCCAAGAGCATATGTTCAACACATTCCGGACCGACGCCTATTTCGGTGGCCGTGTGGCCGCAGCCTTTTTCAGTCCGAGGCTGGCGACACATGGTGTGTCACGCGGCCACACGGGGCAGGTTTCAGTCGCGATTTTTTTTTACTGATTACTCCACTCTGAAAATTTGTACGTGGAGGTTATTTCACATCCCGATCACGAATATGACAATCATTTTTGGCGCCGTCGCCATTTGGCGCCACCGGGCCCAGTTTGCCCATGATCGTTCTCAGCAAAGCTGATGTGACTCCTGACTTTGCCTCTCACTTTTGAAATCAGAATCCTTAATCACTCCTCTAACGCATGTTTCTTCAAAAATTTGGTGAAAAAGGCGCGGGGCCCAAACTAACCGCCACGTGCGCCAATACAGCGCAAAACGCACAAAGTCGTGATCATCAAGATCAGCGACACCGCAGCTGCCTTCAGATAAGGATCAGTAATCCCCAGCAAATTCGGCCGATGCAGTTCCAAGAGCACGAGGGTTCAAATCTGCACACTTTTCAGAAAAATGCTTCACAAATAAACCACAGGGGCTTTTCATGACCCAACCATATGCAGCAATTTGTACCCCTACAGGATCATATAACAAACTCATAAATTTGCGCAACAGTCGAAAGACAGGAAAATGTTAGCTTCTGGAAGATCGTGACACACATGTGTGCCACGCGGTTACAGGGAGCAGACAACGTGTGACACACCATGTGTGTCACGCGGTCCGGAATGTTTGAACCAGTGAACCTTCCGTGTGATCCCACTTGGAGAGCAAAGCTATCTTTCACTGCACTGCCCAAACAAAACTCTTCAGAAGGACGCTCCGAGATCTTGAGTCGAAATCTTTCCAAAATTCTTGCTGGCACGCTAGGTAACCGTCATCTCATTTGCGGCGTCAATGGGGAAAATGCGAATAGCAAGCATATAATATTTAATGGCTTTTGTCAGTAAATTGCTACTTGAAACCAGTCCTCAACTCACTGCCGTAGCAATTTTATCGTGATGGCGTGCGCTCACAATTTTGTGTAGCCCCAAGATCACTCGGATTGCTTTCTGCAGTAGTTTGATTTACAGTAGTAATTTGAAATTCAGGAATCCTAGCACTTTCATTGAAATCATTAAACGTTATACTATCATGTCTGTCTAGTATGAGGAAACAAAAAAGTAATTCAGAAATCGTTCTGAACTTGTTCATAATAGGAATCGAGAAAAGTCGAGCAGCCGCTGGACCGTTGAGAGCGTAAATCGTCCCCATGATGATTTCAGACGATAGGCGGAGCATAATAATACGAGTTTTTGCTTTAAACCCTCACGACGGCGCCAGTCATCCAGCCAGTCGACCTCGTTGTAACCTTGGTAAAGCCTTTTCGGCCGTTCAATGCCGTGCAACATAAAAAAACCGTCGGGCGGATTTCCATGGTGAGGAAGAATCGGCACGGGCAATAGTTCATCCCTCACATAAAGCAGTCAAAAGTTTTTTATGGATCGTTGAAATAAAATGAAAAAGATAAAATTGAAATAATATCGACAACATAAAAGAACAGGTAAATAATCAATGCCTATTGGAGTTCAGTGTCAAATGACGATTACTGACGAGACTGTCAGTTATCATATTCCGGTTCATCTTCGTCCATACGGACATTCACACTAAGCAGACGCCGGTCGTCGAAGAAGTATAAACGGATTATACCATGCCACCTGACCAGGTATCGTTTCGTTCCTGAATATGAAAAAATTGGCTAGAGAAAGGAAAATGTGTTGGTTTGATAGATGTGTTCACAAAAAAAAAAAACGGCTTTCTACAGTCTGCCGTTTAAGACAAATTCCCCCGATCAAGTGTTCGGGATAGATTGTCTCAGTCACCGAAGCAGTGGCGCCACTTGGTAACCCTCAGTGGGAAAAAAAATCGAAAAAACTCGCGACAGCCCTGAACACAGACCTCCCTTTAGCAGTGGGGGCGGGGCCTGGACGAGTGTGCCGGACGTGGCTGCCAGAAATCGATGCGGCAGCCGCAATTGCGTCCCGGACTTTCAAATAGGATACTTTAAAGAAGAAGAAAAAAGACAGCTCGGGACCGGACGCCTCGTCCACCTACCGTGTCAGCGAGCCTAGCGAGCCTTGTGGAAATCGCTATAACTTCCTTATCGCGCCATATTGAGGGATGAAAGTGGTATCATCTTCGTCAAGGCGTAGAGGGTTCCAAAAAGCACGAAGTCATTTTGAGGACCACTTGATCGCGGGGAGTGTCTTTAAGTAACCCTTCTAGTGGATAAATCACCTTCGCCAGAAGATTGAACACATGTACTTCTTGAAATTCGGGGAACATGTGTTGAGGACCTGATCCCGGAGGACGAAGGGCATCATAGGGCGCTTTGCTCTGTATCGGATTTGCGAGCGCAGATGTGAGAGGTCATCTAAATCGTTTTTAGGAAGACCTTGAGCAGCTGAAGCGAAGAGGTGAACAGCGACGTGCGCGGTGCAACACAAAGTTCGACGTTGATCTATTCTCATTGCTGTACTATGTTATGCAGTAATTTATGTTTCGTTTGTTTCAGGGCAGATTACTAACTTACGCTTTTCTCATGTTCAAAGCTTATGTTGGATTCTCACCTTCATCAGCTCAAAGGGGTTGGGGGCGCATAAAAGACGGGAGAGCTGACGAGGCTGCTAAGCCTGGGTGGCACGGTCGATTACAAGTGTCGTCAATAAAAGTTGGTTCTGAAACCAGCGTGGCACGCCCAAGGATTTTTTACCAAAGAACTCGCCGCACTACGATCCGAGCTGGCGGAATCTTAAGCATTATGGTTCGGGTGATCGAAGATCTGATTCCACGCAACTCTTGAACAAGGATCGCTAATTCCTCGCTATAGTAGCTTTTACTGGTTTACCAGATGTTGCTCTTTTCTATCGTGTTATTTGCCCCTGGGCAGGCGGATGTATTTATGACGTCAGACGTGATCCAATGCCGAGTGAGGACGAGCACAGCGGCGAAACTAGATGGACCACTCTGCACCGTCGTAGAGGAACACATAGGCGGTCCAGGGGCGCGGCCTGAGACCAGGTACGCATTTTCGTGTGAAACACCATAGGGGGATGTTAGTGGATCGTACTTTCCCGCTGCGGAAAGGGGCGGGTCGTACTGCTGCCCTTGAGGAAAACTTCCGACCGTTGGGAAAAATTTTAGTGTGTTGTGATTTTTTGTGATTTTTCCTGCTTCATGTGCCGTATAATATGAGTAACCCCCGACGCGAGAGTCTTTGAACGGCGGGAAATTGGCATTGGCGATTGGAAAATGTGAGAGCTAGATGTGGGCACGGGGTGCGTCGTACGACCCCCTCCCAGGTGGGGAGGGGTACCCGAACTCTGCCTCGAAGGGGGAGGGAGGGTTCGCTATTGACACCCACTATTTCATGACATTCACGATGCTGTACCTGCTGCGACAACGTGCAGGTCAGAGAACCAATGAATTACCATAGATCTACGGAAGGGTCACTGAAAAATTCCTGTTACGGGAACCTGAGATTCCACCGCGCAAATCTCTGGAGGCCTTTTGTGTAGGCCCAAAACCTCAAATTGAAAAGGAAAAATGGACTGCGTTGCTTGTGCGGTTCCATCAACAGCTTCGAGACGGACTATACCATCTGATGCTACTTACTGTGAGTCAATTGAGCGGTGGACAATAACGTTAACCTACATAGGTTAAGAGGTAAGTCCAACTGCGCTTGTAGCTGCCAGACCTCGCTAGATTCCGATAGTCTATAATGGATTGCTCTTAAAGACTAACTGGACATTCACCCCCGAGGACGGTATTTTCATGTGCTTGGTGGATGGGCCCGCATCTACAGTAGTGTGCCACTTCCTCAGCTTGAAGATGCATGGGAACGGAAGGTAGTGATACCAGGATGCCATCTCGCGACTTCGTCCGTGCTATCCTCGAGGTGAAGCTTTTTTGTAGAGTCCCGCAGCGAACATACAGTCAGAGGTAGCGAGCAATCAGAAGTGAGCAGGCGCAGACTAGTAGCCCATTTGGCTATGATTACGAGTGTGGCTGTCAGTGCGGCCGGGACGGCACCAGGGTATCATTACCTTGCAGCCCTGTTTATGCACCTTTGAGCGAAGAAAGTGGCAGCTACCGCAGCTGACTTCCCAGGCTCCGACGAAGGCGATTAAGTCGGAAGTTGTGTCGGTTTCTAGACTGTGGCCCCTACATATAGTGATTAAGAAGCAAGGTTCCCAGAACTTGGACGTAGTAGCATACGTTTCTGGATCGAATAGCCATTATCGTGAACCATTCTGATTCCATTCAGTATATGCGGGAAGTTGATCAATCATGTGTCTTCTAGGGGAGCGCCTTTTACACGTCTACCTATTGGGACCATGGGAATTTTTGGATATTCTTCAGTTCTTTTTACGGTCGTGATCACTGCAAACGATAGGGCGTGACTCGGAGCGGACCCAGGTTGGTATCATTGGCGAAAATGGCCACCCTGACAGCGCTCCAGTCCACGTTCCGTCGCACCCCCATCGTTTTCAAGGATCATGACTCAGTCATATTAAGCGCTAGGAACAGTGGCACCTACTAGCTACTCCTTATAAGACAAAATGCTTGTGTTACATGCGCTCAATGCAGTCTTAGGAACCGTGAACTGCAAAGCACCGCTTATCCTAACAACAGGCAGACATTAGCGTATTATTGCTTCAAATTGTAGCTCGAAAAACGACCCACACACCCCACAAGCACACACCAATGTCACAACCCACCACCCAGTAATTAGCACAGCACTGGCGCTGAGAAAAAACGAAGCCCACCTGAATAAATCGTAAGCAAAACTAATTCGTGAATCTCTCGTGGTCGCATTCTCCAATCCATACAGCACACCGCACATGATGAAGGCGTCGGCTATCTGTGTCGCATTCACTTCTGCCACCTCCCATGTATCGACGATGTAAAAGTCCTGCAAGTGTAGAATTTTCTAGATAGGAGGCCATTTCTAGAACTTTATAATTTTAGAATAGCAGAGCTGGATCGTGAAAATTTTCATTTCTATTTTGGGACCTCTTAATTTAGGAAGAAGGCTGAAATCTTCCAAGAACCATGCAGGACTAGTCAGTAATTACAGAAGTCTGCGTTGACTAGTGACGCTGATTACAACGTGAACGATTCGGGGTTCAAAGGTTCATTGTTTTCATCGGGCTAGCAATAAGGCATTGACGACGAGGTTGGCACCATTTCATGATTCTCTTTTTCATGATTCTTATGAATGGGGAGCTGAACTTCGGAGTAAGTATATACAGGGGGGGGCAAAAAAGTCACTTCGACCGAGTCACATATCAGCAAAGTTTTCGCAGCCCAGAGAGAAGACGTGGATACGAGTACCAGGGCGGAAGATACCAAGATGTTCCTCGATAAGCAGGAGCTGCCCATTCCTGCTTACACACGGCAATTATCAGGATCCACGGAGGCTAGTGCAGTGTTTGTCACTGTAGAGCGATAGTAGGTCAATTTTCCCCTTATAAGAGCTAGACCTCGATATGGGGGACCAATTCGTAAGAAGGTATAGTCAATATGCCGTAGCCTTATCAGCACTCACTCGTTAGCCGGTCAGCCGTAATCGTTAGATATCGGCAATGAACCGCAAGGCCGAAGGCTTTACAAGTTTTTGAAGCTGTTTTGTTATGATAACTGCTGTTTAACGCCGCAGTACGCGTTCCGAATGTTATCACAAGAATGCTGAGATGGGCAAAAGTCGTGCCCCAGGCGGGAGTCGAACCCGCACCTCACGCTTTCCGGGCGAGTGCGCTAGGGTGCGAAGTTATTTTACGTGGGGATAGCGTATCCTCTATCCGCTATCTCTACGTAGAATAACTTCGCACCCTCTACGAATGATTGATACCCTATATCTATTTACTATTTTGGGCCCTAGTAAACGGCAACAGAGCAAATTCAAAAGCATTGAAGAGGAAGGCTGTGTGATCAAAGTGCATGATCCTATTTATTAGAATGATCTCACTAACCGGTTCAATTTTGCTCACAAAGAGAGCATTACTTTCTGGTCGCATATAGATCACCCATAGACCGTTCTCGTCAACTGCAAAATCAGCATAGTTGTGGGGGCGATTGTAGAGCCATGGATGCCGTTCGGTCTCATTACAGTCCTGAATGCAGAAAAAAGTATCAAGTTCAAAGTAAATTCAACTTGATAATCTACAAAGTACAAAAAGTTCCATCCATTGTGGCACAGCTAAAAATGGCATTGTGAGGGATGGAAAGTGGGAAATGGTAGGGCAATCTCAAAGGCTAAACAGAACGCGGAGACCGCTCAGAGGAGATTTACGGCGCATGTGAGTGATTTTTGAAGTATAATTCTTAGCAGGTTTATTCTTAGTGTGTAACAACCTCAACTGTCGAACTCAGAGGGATATAGGGTCCGGGGATCCACGGAAGTGGCACGCACGCGCGAAAGCTAGAAGAGTAGTTTCCTAACGTTCCCTGACACAGCGCAGCATTTCCACTCTGAATTAATCAGGTCTTGGTGAGAATGTCGCGCATGCGCCACTAATGAAACGTTACTTTCTCGGCGTCACCCCAGTGGATTTCCTGCTCTTCACAGAAATAGGATATTCTGGATCTGTAATTATCCACGATAAATACATAGCCGTCCAGCAATTGCCTCTCAATAAGACCGTAAACAAGAAAAAAATCAGATGGTGACAGACAGCCGGAGAAGGGTAATCACAGACTTGTAACGGAAATAGGAAAAACGTAACAGCAGACTGGTGACTGCTAGGACACCTTACAGTTAGTATTCTGCTGGCCCCAAACCCTACTGATCTTTCTAAGGCTTGGGGCCAGCAGAATACTAACTGCAAGGTGTCTAAAAATTAATGTTAAGATAATATAAACCTCGAACGTATGGTCCGGTAACCGTCCACAGTCCTTGTGAGCGATGTCACCAAGTTCGGCCTCGATTTGATCGGTTGTTTCCAAGTCGTAACTGGAACATTCTCATGAACCGGGCAACAATTACGTGCTAATTTAGAGAGATCTGTCAGACTAACTTGAAAGTCTATCAAGAAAGGTGGATTGTTGTCTCTCTAGGCTTTAGAACCTTCATAATGAAAAGAGGTGATGTATTGGAAAGTAATGCCACTATGACGTTCACAATCCGGTCAAAATTGAACTCCCAATCCGGTCAAACCCTTGATCTCATCCGGTCTAACTAGTCATGAGACTTTCATCATTTATGGACGGACTAATTGGCATCAGAAGCTCGGCACACCCGCAATGGCAGAGGCCTACCAGTTCTACGACTTGAAGGCACGTAGCGAAGACGGCAGAGCCTCTGACTGATGAGCATGATCCATACTATTTTCGAACGGAAAACGCTCACTGCAAGAGTAGAGCTGATTGACGTGACACGACGCAGCTTGGTGTGAATGACGCCTACGTGGCACCATTTACAGCGTCTGTTTTGCCGCCATCGTTGCAACTTGTAATGGTCAACTACACCGGCTGTTTAGGTTACTTCATAGTTGCAGCATTGCACGCACCAACAGGGCGTTCCCTAGTTAATGACACAGACAAGGAAGGGCTAGTCGACTTGAGAGATTCAGAAGCAGAAAGAGCTCAGAGAGTCGAGGCGCTGCTGCACTTCTACGCTGGATAGGGTCTCGATGCGAATTTTACATACGTAACCCTATCTCGTATTTCATCACTATAACGCTCTACACTCCAGCTGTACCACGAATACCACTGCAGAAGCCACACTAGGCGTTTAGGTTGCATTTTCTATTTAGCCACACAGGGGCCAAGACAAAAATTTTTCTCAACGTCCGGTGAGATTTCATTCCCCTCCGAGATTGGGAATACGAATGCACTAACGAAAGCTCCAAGATGAGCTCTCGACTTACCGTACTAGTGACGTCGTTCCGTGTTTATGGTAGTAGTATGAGCCATTGTAAATGAGGTTCCCAGTTCCGGACGCCAAGTAGTCCACATAATATCTGGAAAATAGGCATCATTTCCATATCGAGCTCGAGTTTTGTACGAAAAGTTCTAGAAGTACCGAGAAACCTTCAATGTAGACGTTGAAGGACGCCTAAAACCCAACATTAGAGAGATTCCCTCTGGTTCCCCTTCAATTTTATGTGTCCTTCGGACCATACCAGAAACAACTCATTCAAAGAGGAAAGAAGGCCTATCAAGAGACTCACTACGCGAGAGTACTTTTCTCTTAAGAGGAACTCGGCACGTTAAATCCCGCGACCGGTGGAATGCATATACCTGGCAGGACATCATTCAGCGCCCCGAGCAAGACCGCTGCGCCTTTTCCAGGGGAGGTACCCTTAACAGCGCCCTATCAAACTGTAACATACCGACCCGGACGCCCACCCGCGCCCATCCGCCCACAAATGGACGACTGTACCTGATGCTCAAATCGCTTCATTTGCAAAAGTGAAGTATGAAAGGCGAAGGATTGATACTAAGAAGCTGCGCGTGGCGATTGGATTATGCTACATGCAGTCGTCTCTACCGTGGCGGTTACTGACCAAACGCCAGCGGGAAACTCGTCCAAAATCGCTTTCTGAGTCGTGTAAAATAAAGGTCTTTTGCAGGTTTTCAACACGGAATGCTGAGTTGTGGCAAAAATCGGGACCACGGGCGGGACCTCGAACGCCGCATCTCTTCTGACTTACCGGCAGTCTGCCCGTTGCGTACCACTACGCTACCTTGGGCCACTTTTCGACTCTCTCACCAGGAAAGGTCAACAGGTCAGCCCGGCCATTTCCAATGAGCTGCACACCATTGTACGCGTCTTGGGAAGGTGAACACAGAACTGTCTTCAAAATTTGCAGAACGATTCTCTGAACGGAGTTATGAAGGGTTTTATCCCCGCATGGTCGTTTCACGTGTTATCGCGAGGAAACGTTGAAGCGTCTTTACATTTACGTATGGAATCATTCTGAAACGTGGCAGCAGAGCGCAACAGATTAGGGCAGTGGTTTCTTAGGCGGGACGTCATAGGATCGGTTCTGGGGCAGGTTCCTTTTTTGCATTTGTCCAAGAACATAGCCGACAAAGCTTCTAACATCTCTGCTCGCCTGCACTACCCTACAAGGGAACCTGCAATCAGTTTTTTTCGAAAGTGTAGACCTATTGCGCCCTGAAGAGTGCCTTCTCTTGTAACCCCTCGTAACACGTGTCACAAGGGTTTTTGTAATGAAATATCATCATATTCATGTTCAGCGGGTCGAATTACCCCTGGGGACAAGTTTCTGGCCGAATCTGATTTTTCGACCTCATTCGGAAAATGTGGGCTATTCCATGGGTAATTAGCAGCAGATTGGAGCTCACCTAACATCGATGACTGATCTTGGAATGGGATTTCCTCCCGATAGTCAAGAAAATAGTGCAGACGGCACGAATAAGTAAGCCAGCTACTGCTGTTTGCGGAAAACACAATGACTAACAGTATATTAGTTTCGAATACCAGTCATCACCAGTATGCTAGTCATCAGAATCAGATGTTAGCTCATCATCGATAATGTTAGCCCATGCACATCCATACCCGCCATTTTTTCGAAAGCTTGAGTCAGAAGCTCCGATCTTCGCCAGAGTGACTCCCTATAGGTTTTATTTGACACCCTGAACACGAAGAATACCTTATTTTGGCGACAGAGCGCTGGTGATCGCGCTGGCACCGGTGCCAACGCTTCGGTGCCAGCGCGCCCGTAAGAAGAAAAACAGTAAAGAAAAACCTCAATAACTCCGCTCAGAGAATCGTTCTGCAAATTCTGAAGGCAGTTCTGAGTTCAGCGTGTAAAGATGAGTACAGTGATGTGCATCTCATTGCAAATGGCCAGGCTGACCTGTTGACCTTTCCTGGTAGCACACACATGGCCTCAATGTGCCATTCCTTCGAGAACTCATTGCCATTTGCCTTCGAGCACGGTCTTTTTGCAGAGGTTTATTGCGCGTAACTTCCGCTTTTCTAAACTTTCTCACTATGTAGCACCTCTGCTACCATTTAAGACAGAGCACCAAGTTATCGTGCCTTATGACATGAGAGGTAGTCCTCGGTTGCTTCACCTTCACGTCGAGAGTGCATGCCGTCTGTAAGTGTGCACCTGTCGCATGCCTGCTTACAGCTCCTATTCAATGCCTACCAATACTTACTTGATCTTCTGCACTTTGTTCATCATTTGTCGTTCGTTCTCATACTCATAGAGTACTGGCGAGGCGTATCCATCAGTAACCCAACGTTTCTGAGACATATGGTCCGACTGTGGATGGGCATCACGCATCCAGGATCCCACCTAGACAAAAGATAACATTACAAATGTGGAGCTTCTGAAGATGTAAGGTCAGATCATGTTATAGACAAAATGACCAGGTCCACGCCCTGCGGGTATTTGCCGATATACAGAGCGATTATTTGGAACCATAAAGCAGTAGCCATAAACGCACCTCTGCAGATATTTCTAAGCGTCCTCTGAGTTGTGAATCTACTTGACAAGTAGAACAAATCTGCCCACCATCCTACCATTAGGGAAAAAGTTTGCGAAATACGACCCTTGCTCGGAATTTCCTCTTCCGTCCACAACGACTTCGATTTCCTGTCTTACTTACCATTTTTTAATGCTTTCCCAACATCCTGTCACTTTTTCCCAACTTCCCAGAAAATTCCCCAATTTTTCCAAAAAAAAACTGCCTCGAGCGAGGGCTATAGCGCAAATAGAACCAGGACAGGAAAAACCCGAGAGAAGTCAAGAACCGGGAACGTTTTTCTTAGAGGCAAATGGGCCCTTCCTCCGTCCACTAGGTAACCGTCCCCTCCCTGTGGATCCCCAGCGTAAGATACGCATCGAAACTATCACAGGGAAACAAAACGCCTGTGTTTTAGTAAAAAAGTTACGCTACATCAAGCCTTTTTATACAACTACTGAAACGGGAAATCTTCACAATCCACAGATTAGTTCACATTTTGCTTCAATAGTTACTATCTTAATTCGAAGGAGTTCGACCTCATATTTTAATCAGAACTCTCTGAACAGTTCAG